GGGACAAAGTATGGCAGTGCTGCAGTGCAGTGGTACTCGACCTGGCATTAAAATAATTGTGTTGGGCACTGGAAGCATGCTGGCTACAGCAGAGTGGAGTCAAGTGCATTCTGATTTTCCCTGCCAAAAGACTTAGCAGCTTGGGCACCAATGAACCAGTAACAATAGACAGCAGGGGAGTGTTGTGGTTTAACCCCAGCTGGCAACTGAGTCCCACACAGCTGCTCACTTATTCCCCACCCTGCCTCAAGTGGGATGGGAAGGAGAATCGGGGGGGGGGGGGGGGGGGGGGGGGGAAGGGAAGGGAAGTAAAACTTATGTGTTGAGATAAGGACAATTTTATAGTTTAAATATATGTTATCTATGTTATATAAATATAACAATAATAGTAATAAAAAGAATAGGGGGAGACTGAGAGAGAGATAAAACCTAAAAGACAAATAATTCATAATTACTCACCATCCACTGACTGGTACCCAGCCCATCCCTGAGCTGCAATCAGTCTCTTTCTGGGTAACTCCCCCAGTTCATACAGGGTACATGATGTTCTGTGGTGTGGAATGTCCCTTTGGTCAGTTTGGGTCAGCTGTCCCATCTCTGCTCCCTTCCAGCTTTTGTGCAGCTCCTCACTGTCAGAGCACAGACATAAAAGTCCCTCACTTGAGGTAAACATTACTTAGCAACAACCAGAACCTCAGTGTGCTATCAACATTATTGTCATGCTGAATTTCAAACACAGCACTGTACCAGCTACTAGGAAGAAAATTAACTCTGTCCCAGCTGAAACCAGAACAGGCAGAGTTTGTCCTTCTGAATTATTCATGTTCCCTACATTGCTACCTCTCTTGCTTCTGTAGCTTGGTATCTCTCTTTTCTAACTTCAGAGCTATTTGTCAAACAAAGTGTTCATGCAAGAATTGTCATGGTAGACACCTTGTGCAGAAAATAAGAGTTGAGTTGAATGAGAATATAGGATTGATTGTGGTGATCAGGTGCAGAGCTCAAGCAACAACAGCTCATTCAGCTGTCCCCTTTTGTTCCCTTCCCCTCCATTCTCCATACCTGTTCTCTCATTTGTCTTAATCACCTCCCTTTCTCTCTCTCTGTCTACTCTCAAATAATTTTGTATCCTGGTTACTTTTTCTGCACAAGTGTCTTTTGCTACCTCTGTGTCTGAACTTGGTATTTCTGATAGAGTTTCCTATCCAATCATTTAGCAGTACCTGGGGACCTAGCAAGGGTTTACTTTTCAAAATATCTTTGTTCTCCCTTCCATTATATGTGAGATTCCATGGAATAATTTAGGTTGGAAATGACCATTGAGTCCAACCTTTATCTGCCAAGTCCACTGCTAAACCATGTTCCTAAGTGTCATATTTTTGAATACTTCCAGGCCCAGGGTACCTTCCCTGGGCCACTTGTTCCAATGCTTAGTAATTCCTCTAGTGAAAAAAGTTTTCCCAATAGCCAATTTAAACCTCCCACTTTGGTCTTTTTCCCACCTTAACCATCTGTGAAATTTGGTCATCCTTCATGGTATTATTTGTAACACTTGTTAACTTCCTGCTCTGTTTTCTGCCTTGTCCAGTAATTTTTCATGGTTAATTCACTGAACTGAACCTCAGAGCACAGCCAAACCTTTTGCCAAGTGTACCTTCATGGCTGGAAGGGAAGACTCACAGCATGGTCACTCATATGGTGACATTCAGATAGCCACTCAGGCAACTGTGTAAGAGAGAGGAGAACAGGAGGAGTCAAAGACCCTTGTTCAACAGGAAGACATGGCAGATTGAGCCATAGAAAAGTCAATCCACAGGAATGCTTAGAGGGACAGGGAAGAGTTCAGCTGCTGGAGGAAGAACTGTGGAGGGCATCAGGTGCTTTGAAGTGCAGTGATGATTAGCACCACTGGGAAATGGGGCAGCAGGGAAGGACCAATACCGGGCAGATACAGCTCCTGCAGTCAGAAGAGACTGCTGACCTGCACCAGGAGAGGTTTAGATTGGACATTAGGAAGCACTTCTTTGCCAAGAGGGTGGTCAAACACTGCAACAGGCTTCCTGGAGAGGTGGTGGATGTCACCAGTCTGTCAGCATTTAGGAGGCATTTAGAGAATACCTTTAACAACTTATTTTACCTTTTGGTCAGACCTGAAGTGGTCAGCCAGTTGAATTAGATGTTCCTTGTAGGTCCCCTGCAAATGTCATATTGAGTTCTAAATATGTTAAGACTGAATATAAAGGATAATTCTAATCAAGAGACAGGTGAGTGTCTGAAGTGTGCTCCCGAAAAGTGTTTTGACCACAGCAATCACCAGTACCAACTAATGAAGTTTACAAGGCAGATTAATCAAGTGTAAGTGAATGTGTTTGCAAGTCTGTTTCAAATTTGAGGTGTGCCTATGATTTGATTTCTAATGCTGGTGCCAAAACAGCATAAGGATTCAACAGTAAAAACTTTGTGAAGTGACTATGTTTTCTTCATAGATTTTTTATAATGGCAAATCTAGACAGAAAATATAATGTATAGTTTCACTCCAAACCGCTGTTTGTTTTCTGTGATTTTCATAACATTTTTCCTTTTATTATTAATAATATTATTATTGAGGGTTTGAAGTATAGAAATAAAAATTTTGCTGTAAGTTTGAAGTTTCAACGTAGTTTTACTGTTTACAAATAAAGACCATGTTTTTTTAAAGTGCTGGCAAGAAGGAATAGTAAGAGAAAACAACTTCTTCTTTTACCTCACTGACACTTCTTTTATTTCTTCTAATAGCCTGATGTTCTTGCCTGAGGAACTGGAGACTTTGCCATAAATTTAAATTCCTACAGAAAGCAGGCCTGACTTGACTTTTCTAGAACTAAACATGTCTCAAGCCATTTTCAGGTTTTTGTGATTTTGCTTTCTCCAGAAATTACATTAATCATCAGAGAAATGTGTTTAGTAAACAATGTTATTAAGAAGAATTGGTAATTTAATTAAAAATACATAAAAATAGGAGAGTGTGGACAAAATCATTATTGGGAGAATAGCATATGATACCTAGAAAATTTAAAACTACCTCTTTTAAAATTGAGAACTTCGACCTGGGTGAAGTGAAAGATACTGTTATTTAGTCCCAGCCCAAGGTATGGAGGAGAACAGTCCCAAAAAACATAAAGAATTTGAAAAACTTCATTAGTATTAAAAAAACCCTCCTAAATACATCTGTGTACTTAATTTTTTCTTTGTTCTTATCATGAAAAATGAGGTGAGAGAAATATGAAAAATGGAAATGCAGCAATTTAAGACCCATGTTTAACAGCTTGATTAAAAATCTGAAGATAAGATTTAGAATCTTGGCATTTAAATAATCAGCTCCTTCTGGTATCCTTTGCAGAAGGAAGTGCTGGATGTGGGTATAAAATGAGGATAAAATATGATATTAATTTGCACTGAAGTAGCAAATATTCTACAGAAGTCTCAGGTCATTAATCTATCTTCCAGCTAAGGGAACTACATTAATAGCTTATGGGATTTACAGGGCAGGCTTCAATTTAATGGTTCACCCAAAGTTTGGGAAAAATAGGAAAGGGCATGATACTGGAGAATACGTTATATCCTGATGCATTAAAATCAATGGCAAAACTTTCTTGGCCTAAAATGGCCTCTAGATAGTTTCTAATTTCAGTGCTGCTGCTGAATGTTAATTGCCTGTCTGTAAAGTGGAAGGAACCATATTTTCCTGACAAGTGTTAAAACTGACTATAATCCTCACAGCTCTGTCTTGAATAGGAAAATAATCTGAATTAACATTAAGCTTTAATTGCATTTCTGGAGATGAATGGGATGGGGGTTGGAGTTTTTAGAGTGTGGCCTCAGCCTAGAAAAAGACACATATTTGCAGTGAATTAACAGATGGTGCCTGCAGGGTCAGGAAGTTTCATTTGCAGTATTTCCTAAGCAGTTCTCATCATCGTAGTCCTGCCTGTGTTTTGTCACCAGTTGCTATGTTCTTTAAACTATAGTATTTCCCTGGACTCTGAAGCCAGGTGAGAAACCCTTTTTTTTTCATTTCTTGCTGTTGGCTTTAGGGGCTACCTTTGTATATGGTGAGAGGAGTGCATTATACAATTTGCAGTTGATTCATGAGAAGCCTTGGAAAAAGAACCAGGGAGTAATGTTGTAACTTAATAGCTAAAATTCTGTCTTCACAGGGGAGTGTCACTAGTACAGCACCTATAAATCAGTGTTGGGGCAGTGCATCATCAGATGTGCAACCTTTTTTAAGGTGATAATTCCCATAATTTGGGCATTGACCTTGTTCTATGTTGTACAGATTTGTAATCTGTGTTTTTCTGAGTGATCCCCACAGGTGGGATATTTCTAATGTGAAGTCACGCTGTGAGACACCTCTGAGTGTGCTGGGAAGATGGGATTATAAATATTCATTGCTCTTGCAACGTTGGGCAATGAAGGTTTCAAATTTTATAAGCTAAGAAGAACTGGGCCCACTCAGAGAGAAAAGAAAATCTCAAAACTTTGGTAATTCCAGGTGATAAATGAAGCAGAATGGGTAAGAAAATGAGAGGTTTTCTGCTAGGCTGGTTTTGAGCCAACATGCTAATTTGATTAGTAGAAGTACATAAGCACACTATAAAATCTAATCACTTATGACAAAACCGAGTCAGGCTGGGTTTCCCTCCCTTGGAAATGCAGTAGCTGCTCTGTGGTCCAGTGTCATCCCTGAAGAACCAGGCATCATGAGCTATAGATTCCTGGCATGGTTTGGCTCCCAGGTGTGAGGACCAGCCTGTCAGGCTGCCCCATGTGTCCCATCCTTTCCCACCCCGATTACCGGCCATGGGAAGCACAGTTAGAGAAGAGGACACATCTAGAGCCTGGAGAAGAACCTGGCTTGGATCACATATAATGCAGTTTCTGTTGACCACATGTCTGGCAAACAAGGGATAAAGAGCAGAAGGATCTAATTTTATTCCTTTCCTGCTAAATTTGCCCAGGTACAGAAGAAGGACTTGCTAATGCTTGGCTCCCACCTGTGCTCTGCAGTGAGACATGGCAAAGCCCAGTCCTCAAGCCTCCTTCCTGAGATCAGGTACAAATGTGTTTGGGGTTTTCTGTTTCTTAAAGAGTAGCTTTGCAGATAAAATATCCCAAAGAAAACTATAATCTTACATGCCTCTCCTGACCACAGGTAGAGTCTGCAGGTACATGTTACAGGTTCCACCAGCTTCACAGCATCACCCTGATGGAGCCTGAAAATCATCACCCAATGCAGCTCAGAGTGTCATTGTTTCCCCACTGGCTGGATACTCCTGCACCTTCTGGCACAGGTGAATTTCCAAATGTCTGCACCACTGGCTATTGAGGGCCCATCCTCCTCACGCCCTCTCCTTTTTGTTGATTTTTGGTTGTTTTGTTGTTTTTTTTTTTAACCAGGAAAGATCACATATCAGTATGTTCTAATATCAAAATATAATCATATTTTCACAAAATTAAATCACTGTTTCCAGTCAGCTCTAGAGTTCTCCTTTAAAGCACAAAAAGCCTCTCCTTTTTGTGCTATGTTAAGTAGCATGAATTCAGTGGAGAAACTGGGGATGGCTGCCTTGAGGGTGACTGGCAGGAGGGAATCCTCAGGATCTGTCACAGTGGAGCATGGTAGCATGAAACATAAAAATGGTTTCAAAATTTACATCCACCTCCATGCAAAGTCTTCTGCTAAATCCTTTTTTTCTCTCCATGTGAGATCATGGTGTTGCTGGGGAAAAACAAGAAAATAATTTTGAAATTAAATGGATGAGAATTTGATAATCCCCGATGACCTATTTTCTTATAAGGTTATGGACTTGTGCAAATCAGTATGTGTTTTATAATGACTAGAGTATGAGAATGCCTAAATATATACAACTGGGACAGCCAAGGCAAGAGCTGAGTCCAGGACTCCTCCCTCTGTCTTTTTCTTGCTATTTCTTTTAGAGAAACAGGATTTCATTGAAAACTCCTGGAGAGCATCCTTCTGTCACTTTCATTTCAAGTTCCATCATACTTTAACTTTTAGAAGGTCTTATCCCTCTGCCCAGGGGCAACCAGCCTGAGATGGGATCCTCAGGATTATCTCTGTGAAACACAGCAGGTAGTTCTATTTTTGCTGCTATGCCAATTTTCTGTTCTTTCCCAGTGTGCCAGGTTATGAAACTGAAGCATAAAACAAATAGTGAAATGCTGGAAATTACAAAAATTATCCTTTTAACAATTTTTATAATTATCATGAACCTAAAAAAGGAGGGTAAAGGGGGAAATGCTTTAAACTTCTTGCTGCTGGACAGACAATGATGCTGGACCATCTCCTTTTTTTGATGCTATAGGCCCAAAGAATAATATTTCTGTAAGATACTCTCCTTCTGCTCAGGGCTCTTTAAAAGCGATGAAAAACACCTTCTTCCAAAAAAATATACTGTCTACTTCAACAAAGTACAAAGCAAGTGGAGAGATGGTTAAAGCCACAAAAATCTTTGCCCCCAGGATCTGGCCTGCAGCTTGTCCCCCTAAGCTTATGGGATGACTCATGTGCATTTACATTCCCTGTGCTTCACACGACATCTGCTGCTGCACATTTGTTGGAGGATTTTGTCTTTGAGCAGCTGGTGACAACCCACTTCCTCTTGCTTTCTTCAGCAAAGATTTTTCAATTGTTTCTTGTTGTTTTGATGTGAGACCCAGTGTTGGAAAAACAAGCCCATTTACCCTGATTAGAACCAGCCCTTTAAACACTTGCCAATTAACAACCCATTTGTTATTTTCCAAGGACCAAGAAATACTTTCCCTTTCTCTCATTTCACTTTGTTTCAGCTGCAATTCCACATAAGCAGCGGAAAAGCAAGCACTTCTTATATAAACTGTTATTAGTATTTCCCTTGTCTTCCCTGTTCCTTTTGTTCTACAGAGCTGGAGAGGTGGGCACCCTTGGGTTTCTTCAGGCTAATCTTAATTAGTTTAATGTTATGATAATCATGCTACTTCCTTACACTGCCACTAGTGCTGAGTGTTATACATACATATATATATATATATATATATATATAACCTTGCTGAAAAACAAACAGAACATCACATTAGCGACAATGATACAAAAAATCATTAGTTTTTGTTACTCAATGCCAATTCTATTAACAGGCATTAAGAAAAATAACTTAACATGCATCTGTTTTTAGCAAAATTGGACATGGTCTGGTTTATGCCAGTGAAGTACATTCAGTGAAATCTTCTTTCAGGGATTTGCTCTCAACTATATCTATGAAATCATACATTATGATTTTATCCTTTTTTAAAAAGTATATACTAAAATTGAGCTGAGTGCTGAGCTACTGTTTCTACTTTTTGTCTTCTCTTTCAACACTTCCAAATCTCCTTGCCAGGGACCACTTTTTTACATAAATATTTAAAGGAAGTACTAAACCTTTAAATGAGATCATCTTGTTTCCATTTTTGAAAATACAATCACTTATCTCAGACAAATCCAGGAGTAGTTACTTGAAAAACTGCATATAATCCCATCAGCCCTAAAGTAATGGCTCTTCTGCTTCAAAATGCCTGCTGTGTTTGTTACTGATTCGATGACTTTGCCATTCTGCAGGAATTTTCCAAGTAGGAGGGTTTCCCCTTTTCATAATTCAAGTTGAAATTACAATCTATTTTTAGCCTGTACTGTTCATTCCAATGAATAGTATCTGATCCTATCTTCACCTGTACTTTGCCAGTCCCTTAAAGTATAGGTGTAGTTATGGTGTGTGGCTATTTACATGTTCTGCACCTCTCTGCAGAGGTGGCTTTGGCATCTGCTGCATACTCTGAGCTGAGTTTTCCTTTGCAAATGCCACAAAGCATCTGACTATAGAGAAAGGGGTTTTCTTGAGAGTCACACTTGCTTCCTAACTTCATTGGATATGTTGCAAGTCCTTCTCTAATAAAGAGTTCCTTGGCTCCTGGATTTGAATACTGAAACAGGCACATATGTTTACTGAATCATTGCCAAATTTTGGGGTTTTATCTGTTAGTTTCATGTGGCAAGGGAGGATTTAAAATCATTTTGGTTCGCAGGAGAAATTGAAAACAGGATCTATTTTTGGTTCTCATTTGACTCTTCAAGATGGATCAGTGGAAACCTGTTATAACACTAATTTACTTAAAGATGTATTGTGGGCATTTTGCTAAAATGCTGAGGGGAAAAAGCTTTGCTTTTGCAGTTGTTTGGCCTGAAGCCAGGATTCTCCATGAAGCTGTATGAAGAAGCCAGAGCATTATTATCCACATATTTTTATGCATACAGTAGAATTCATTGGCTAGACAATCTGTTCCCTTCTTGAAATATATTTAAAAAGACAGGAGTGGGCTACAAATAAGTTGAAGATGCACCCCTTTTTTTTATAGCTGTGCAAATCAAGGTCTGATATGGAGCATTTGGGTATCAAAACAAAATACTTCTTATAACCAGAGAATCAGTATTTCTTATTTCCTGACATGCAGTGCAACTGCAAGAAGAGATGCTAAAAGCCTCGGTCGTTGGAGTTTGATTTGTGGGGTTTTTTTTTGTTTGTTTCTTTTTGTTGTTTTGGGTTTTTTTTGTAGGGGAGGGGTTGTTTTGGGGTTTTTTTTTTAACAAATCATAAAGATTAGCTGCATATACCTATTATGTAATTTTTACTGTATTAACTGTAATTTCCTCTTACGCACACCTTCAGCCCATGGTGCTCTCCAGCTGAATGCATGACATTTCTTGGTGCATGGGACACTATTGGTAACAATAAGATTGTGGCAACCTGTGTTATGCCTGCTCTATGAATAGCAGTGTCATTTGTCATGTGTTTGAACAGACTGCCTGTACAACACAGCCAATGACAAATTTTAGGTTGAGATAGATCTGTCCTCCAGTTCACAGACTGGCTCTGTTTTTTCCCTTGCATTGTTGTTCATCTCAGGCTAAACCCTTCTGTGCCCTTTCCATTCTCTGAGAGGAGAAAGATCTGCACATAACTGGATATTTAACACCTGTGTTTCAATTATCATATCATTTGAAGAATCGGGTGCTTTACTTTATGTTCCTCAAGTAGTTATCTTGATTATTTGCTACTGCAGAACTGCAGTAAACTTGTTTGTTTATCCTTTTCTCTCTATCTGAATTTGATTTCAGAAAGCAATCTCAGATGAAGGAGAGACTTCTGAGTCCTAATCACATGCTGCTGTTGTTAGCTTTGTTGCTGCAAGTGGCAACAAAAAGTATACTTTACCTTATACTATATTAAATTCTAAGAGCAGAATACATTGTTTTTCTTGCTATGCCTGGTTTTTTTGTTTTGGGTTTTGTTGTTGTTGTTGTTGTTTGGGGTTTTTTTAGGTTTTTTTGGTTGGTTGGTTTTTTTTTTTTGTTTTGTTTTTTGAGGTCTTTTTTTAGTTGATTTGTTTTGGTTTGTTTTTTGGGCTTTTTGGTTTTATTTTCTCGTGAGGTCTTCCAGGATAGATAAATGTGAAAGCCATGGTAGTTGTATTCAGCAAGAATTTTTTACAATATTTCATTACAAAGCATACATGTCTTGGAGAATTTTATGAGAAAACAGCTCAAGGCACATTCAACAACATATTACTTCTTTCTGTCTCTTATCAATTACCTTTGGGTCATCCTGTTTGCATAAGAAACAGGTCAATAAACTGATTTCAAAGCAGAATGTGGTATCTACTGAGACACTAACTTCGTCCTGGGCTTATAAAGAGTGCAAAGTGCATATTTTATGGTCCTCTTTTTGTCCTAATGTGATTGCTCTTCTAATCTCTTCTACAGAAGGATCCTAATGGCTCATTCAATGTGGTTTCATTTAAAGAATTTCTGCATGTCCTTGTTTTTGGTCAGTGTGCACCTTTCTTCTGTGTGGGTAATGCTGGATAAGAATTGTTTCATTTGTACAATTTGCAAAACTCATCAGGCCCAGAAGGGCAAAGTTTATCACAGAAGTTTGATAAGACTCTCATTATAGAAAATCATAAATTTAATAGACTTCTGTGTTTCATTACGTGTTTCATTATTTTTCATTTCATTATGTGTTCTGGAGCTTACAGAGTACTCATTTATTTTATTCGTTTCAATAACATTATGGTGTGCTCTGTGTTCTAGGCAGTGTCAGTCATTATGGAATAGAGAATTTCTGTTATTGAATAGAGAATTTCTATCCTTTTTCATCTTGGGATTTGATGTACAGTTAGGCAAAATTTTGAAGTGCCAGAATTCCATTAAATTGGAACAGGATAGTAGGACATTTTTAACTGAAAGGAAATTATTTTA